ATAAAATGGGTTCAAAAAAGAACTAGATAACTCAGTGGATGGATCATTCAGTAATTGCCCCCATTTTGTTTATCCCTCTGAAGCATCCAGCATTGGCCAGTGTCAGACATCTGGATACTGGGCTAGATGTGCCATTGGGCTCACCCAAAATGGCTGTTCTCATGTTCCTACAAGCGACAGTCTCTCTGATCTCAGTTACTAGCCTGGCACTGCAGCAACCAGGAACAGGAGCTACAGAGAAATTCCTGTTTGGTCTTTGTGATTTCCAAGTGGAAAATGTCCAGTCCAGTAGAACCTTTGCAGCAGTTAGCTCCCAAACTCAAGAAAGTCTCTGCTGGGCATGTACAAACTGAATTGTTTCAAAGGTCTGTGACTTATCCAAAAGGGGGTGGTTGTCAAAGGAATGGAAAAAGACACAACGACACCAGAGCAATCCTCTCCACTATCAAGTTCCTGCCCCAAAGCATAGAAACCATGTAGAGCTTTGCATCTAAATGGCTGACAAGATTTTTTTTCTTAAACCCGGCTGATACAACATATTTTCCCCTCATCTAATTCTGAGAAGTTTCCTTTTGATGAAACTAAAAGGTCAATTTGAGGCAGCCCAAAGGGGCAAAGTACCAAAGTTGCTTACAGCTTTGCAAGAAATTTGAACGCAAACGGAAAGTGTTGGGCAACTTTAACTGTGGAGATACCAGCTCTTCCCATATTTCTGTGTGTGGGGTTTTGTACGGAGTTTTGAAATGTGGTTTGTATGATTGATGCTATAGAACACAAGTTTATACTATATTGTAAAACATCTAGATCCCACGCTGTGTGGTAGCTGACACAAGAATGCAAAAACCCTGAGGGGATGATGGGGAAATCAGAAGCAGCTATAATTTTATTATTTTTAGCTTGATTTGAACTTTTCATTTGCAATTCTGAATTCTTTGAATGAGCAGAGCTGTCAGGCAACGGGCCAAGAAATTTTTAAAAATCACGAACAGCAGATTAGAATCAGAATGTTTGATCTAAACATCATTTCTAAGGGAGTTGTTTTTGCAGGTGGTAGAATCATGTGCTAAACAGGAAGCCAAAATCTAAAGTACTGTAGCACCCACTGCTAGATTAATTTATGCCGTCCCCTTTACCTACCTTAAGTTGTGTAATTGTATGCAAGTGTCATGAAATTGTTCTTCCTTGGAAAAACTTATGAGACGATTTTGAATAAATTTTGTCACAATGTTTCACTATTCATTTTCACACTATGCATGGGTCAGTGCGGGCGTTCTTCTCTGTGGTTTGAGGAGAAATATTTTGAAGATAACTGTCAAGTGATTTCATTTTTGGACCAGTCTAGAGAGATCTTTTTCATAAAAAAGTCAAAGACTCACATGAATGCTGTAATGCCAGGCCTGCACCCAAGACAACTACCTGGGTACATTTCATATGCCTCACCTAGAAACAAAAATTATCTCCAAGAAGATACAGCCCCAGGGACATGGTCGCCGTAAGACTATCTGGTTCCCAGAATCTGAACAGTAGAGCCAGGCAATAGGGTGGGTGCTATTCAATGTGACTTCCATTTCAAGACTGTTGTCACCAGCAGCACTTTCTCTAGCCATGTAGCAACTATCAAAACTCTCTCAACAAGATTTGGGATGAGAACTGCAGTGCCTCATTTAGAAACAAAAATTATCTCCAAGAAGATACAGCCCCAGGGACATGCACCGATGTCATAAAGGAGAGAGAGGGTTGTTAGCTAGAAAAATATAAATGACTAAGGAATATAGTCAGAAGAGGTTTGAGAGAGGTTTGAGAGAGATTACAGTGTGGTGAGGAAAATTTTCCTCACCAATCCATGAAAGAGAAATTCATTCTCTACATTAAAAAACCTATTTTATGAACCACATAATAGTTACTCATAGTTGATCTCTGTGACCCTGGCTAGCAGTTTCTAGCATACAATTTATGCTCCAACAAAGAGACCACGTACATACCCAGAATGTCTCCAAGAACCCAGGTAGTAAAAGGGTCTCTCATGAGTCCATGACACAAGGACACATGTGAACTGGCTCAATATCAAGGGTATTTTATCTAAACCTATGACCTTAATATTTATCAATGATAGCAACATACGCTTTTAGTCCCAATAAAATAATTTATCACAGAAAGCAAGCCCATCCATCTTTGCCATAAAGCCTTATCTTAAAGCTTTTGAATGCCATTTTATTGATTTTATCATTCTAAAATGTTTCCTTCTGCCAAAGATGTATTATAGCAGCCTTGCAGGAGCCTAGTCAGCCAGGACATTTTTGACAGAAAAGGTAGTGGTGGTGGAAGGGGCTGACAAGGAAAATATTCATTTTTCCATCATTCCCATGGAGAGATAAGGTAGCTGAATTGGTAGATTTTTCATGACAATTTTACAAGTATGCATTATACGGAACCGGAGGGATAGCAAATAAAAGCAATAAAAAGGACCAATAACTTCCCTGAAGTTTTACCGTAAAAATAAAACTCTTCTGAACAGCAGAGCATCTGTTTATTGATAGAATCATGAGAAAACCACCACCACTCAGTGAGGAAGGATGAGATCAGGTTATTAAAATCACCTTTTCCTTGGCTTAACTTCTGTGCTACAGAGAACCAAAATACCAGATTCAAGCAAGCTGCAGCAAGGACAAACACCTAAGGCAATACACACAGTTGTCATAAAATTGCCACTGAGACTCAAGTTACCAGCCATCTGATGAGAAAGGGAAGCTATCACTTCTACCTAAAAATAAAAAGTTAAAAGATAATATAAGTCATACCTTCAGATAAGTGAAAGTACTGAAAGACTGGCTGGCAATATAGCCAGCATGTTAGGGTGCACCCTACACACAGCACCCTAAACTCGAAATAAGATACACAATTTGCGCTATGCAAACTGCATATGTTATTTTGAATCTATTTCAAAATAGCTTATTTTGAAATTTGGCACATCTACACAGCACCAAATTTTGAAATAATGAGTTATTTCGAGCCATGCCCTAAGCCTCGTGCAACGAGGTTTACTGGGATGGCAAAATAGTGTGCCCATTATTTCAAAATAATGAGCAGCTTGGGTAGTCATGGAGTAGCTATTTCGGGATACCGGAGGTAGTGCAGTGCAGTGCAGTGTAGACTCAAAACGGGGGGAGATTCAAAAACAGGAGGAGGAGAAGGGGCAGGGCCACCTGGGGAGACAGTTGGCAACCCTTTTAAAATGTAATGGCGACCCATATTTGGGTCCTGACCCATAGGCTGGGAAACACTGTGCTAGAGTCTTGGACATAGCAAAGTTACATTAGGGTTAGGGTATATCGGGGCTGGGCAAGATGCAGCCCCATTAACATTCTGATCCACCCCATGGACTGCATTTGGCAAAATTCTATTAATATCCTGCTGCCCATACACCAAATTTCCAAGTGGTGGCTCCTTTTTGCGGCACTAACTTAGCAGAGGCTGGAGCTGAGAGCCCTTTAAATAGCCATAGAAACCCTGGGCAGCTGCCAGGCAACGTGGTAGCAGTGGGGCTGAGAGCTATGAGCCCTTTGCTGTGTTTTTAATTCAAAGCCTCCAGACAATTCTGTGGGGAGGCTAGTCCCCAGCCCTGTCCCTTCCGAGGGGTGGAGCCGGCCCGTGACAACATACCAAAATTCACCGTGAAAATTATTGCTCTCTCCTGAGGTATATGAGAAAGATTTAGTGCAGAAGGGTCGCACCTGTACGACAACTGTGTTTTTACCATGTTAGGGAACACGCATCGGAGCCAGGTTCCCTAAAATGATTATTACAATGAAAATGGACCTTTAATGGCAAAAAGGGAATTACCCATTTTAATGCTCCTGTGAGCAAAGCAAATAATACATTCCCAGAGATGGATCGGGAGTAATTAAAAAGATAATTAAAAGATACTCATTGAAACCAAGAGGCCAGTGTGCCAAAAAGGCACTTCAAGTACAATTGTAGGTAAGAAGGTATGATTAGCGATCCTTTACCAGTAACACAAATGAATGGGTTGTATCTGTTCTATATCAGTAGTCTAAGGGCTATTGAGCCTATGAGCCGTAAGTATTATTAACTAGGAGGTATTGAATAGATTAGGCATAGCATAGTTTCTGAAAGCAAGGATTTCACTCTCCTGGGTAATTTGCAATCCATTGAGTAAAATCCCTACTTGTTTTTCATACCATCCTATTTAAAAATGAAAGAAATATTGAAAATTCAAAAGCATGCTTTTTATCATAATAGCCTACATTGAAATAACATCTCTATAATCACAAAGTGCTTTATGAACTAATCTAAACCCATTTAAATTAAATGTGTATTATATGCCATATATCAGCATTCATATGGCGGCTGACAATACTATAACACACATACATTACATACGTAGAATATGTCGTTTGGTGTGAAGTGCTCTGAACTCCCCTGATTACATATAAAGTAGTCAATTTTCTCCACCAAGGATCAAAATACTTTGAACACTCTTTAGGAAGCCATATGTATCAGACCAATTCTACTGTATGTTTCTAGTAATTAGTGCGTATATGCCCAGAAACCTTTAAAAAAAAAATCAGGAAAAATGAATTTAAAGGAACTAGAAAACTTCAAACTCCAGCAAAGGTTGACTCGGCCATTCACTTTCACTATCCCAACACCATTCTTCTGTCTTAATTAAATATCAAATTGGTTAAGCAGATCTGCAGATTTAATTAGTGCTGCAATTTAAATGAACTTGCTTCCCCTTGGAATGAAGGAAGGTTACTGAGTTGACTTCAATCTCAAATAAAATCCCATTTGGCAAGATGCTGAATGCAGAAGCTTATGACCTACTGGCGTAGTTCAACAACACATTCTCTGCAACATGATCCTATGTCCTCCCGCATGTTTGAATGTTATTTGAAAATAAATAAGGAAAAGGAAAGGTACAGCATATCTTATCTATGAAAAGGAAATGCTACATTAAAGAATATGTATTTACCATTAGCACATGGAACAGTAACCCTTTCTGGCTCTGAAATACTTATTTCAATATATCTCGGTAAAATGAGGCACTGTTTTTCAAAGCTGGGAAGCATCTTCAGGTCCATTTGGCACTTTCCAATTGCTGACCTGCTCTTCTGGCTTGAACCACATTTGTCAGCTATTGATTCCAGACTGCTGCCTCAGCAGAAGGGTGAAGAGACAAAAGCACATTCCATGAGTTGGGTAGGGCTGTGGCAGAGAAGAACCAGTAAGAAACCAATCAGGAAAGAGAGGGGAGCTGTGCGAGTTTCTTTTGGTGGCCATGAGTGCAAGGGACCAGCAAGAGTCTAATTTTGGAACATTTCCTTTCAGCCACACTACATGGGCATTTTCTTGGGTATTAGCAACTCCATATGCCTCTTCACATCTGGAACTTGGCAGACACCAAAACGCCTGGAGTACAACATCAAGGTTTCTCTATCCTAAACTGAGAATAAAAAAGTTCTGGGTTTAGCTGTCAGCAACCTCAGAGCCTGATACCTGTAGCCCTACCAAATTTACAGTCCATTTTAGTCAATTTCACAGGCAGAGGGATTTAAAATTGGTCATTTTCACAATTTCAGACACTTACTAAGGATGTTAACAAAAGTTTATTTTTGTAAACGTGTAACTGCTGTATTTTTTTAGCAGTTACACACTTACACGTAGAGGGACAGATGGGAGCTCGTGCTTGTGGGAGCTGGTATTTAAGCCAGCTTCTTGCATGTACCAGCTCCCACCTGCCTGCCTCATCTCTTGTGCTGCTGCCTCCGATACAGAGGAAGCATGGGAGTGTACGCGTGACAGTTAGGTTTAACCAATGAGCCAGGATTATTGGTTAATCATGTAAACCGGTACACACTAACATCCCTAATGTTTACATATTTTATGGGGTTGTAACCATGAGGGTCCTGACCCAAAAGAAGGCTGGGGAGGAGAGTGTTGCAAATCTGGTGATGGGGACCATGGGATTGAAACGCTCACTTTGGTGATGCCTTCAGAGCCCTGTTCCCTGCAGCAAGAACAGGCTGCAAAGCCAACAGCTCCTGACAATGTTCTGAGAGGCACAGGTGAGTCTGACTGCCTTGTGCTGCTGGCCTAGACCCAGCCTGGAGTTCCCAGCTGCTAGCCCCAGCCAGTGGCAGATTAACACAACCTCCGGCAAATTTGGGGACCCTCAGAAAAATGGGCAACCTGTGCTGTAGCAGGAGCCCAAGGGGTGCAGAATCCCCAAGCCTAGGCATAAGCCGGGAGGCGGTAAGGGGGAGTGGAAACCTTGAGACTAGCCAGCAGTCCATCCCCTCAATTCTGTTCTGCCTCTGGGTTGGTCTCCCCACCAAGAGCAGCTACACTAAAGATCCACAAGTCCTGTTCCTTGCCAGCCAGCTTAGCAGTCTACTGATATCCAGGCTGTTCCCATTATGTTTATACAGGCAGTCCCCGAGTTACGCGGATCCGACTTACGTCGGATCCGCAGTTACGAATGGGGATTTTCTTGCCTCCGGGGCGAGAAAAGCTGCTCCCCGTCTTCCTGGTCTGCTGCGGGAGCCAGCAGACCAGGGAGACGCTGAGCAAAGCCGCGCAGGACCCGGGGCCGGACCCGCGGCGCTTCCAGCTGATCTGGACCCGGGGCCGGACCCATGGCCGCTTCCAGATCAGCGGGAGACAGGGAGCAGCTTTTCTCACCCCGGAGGAGGCGGGGGGGCGGGG